TATCTATATGACTATACTACCAGATTGGGCTATCAGATGGCGCGACCAAGGGTCGATGTAAATTGGGTGGTGGCCCGGAGGTGGATGGCGACGGAATGGATTGCAGATTCTCTGCCGAGGCTGTTGCCAGCGCTTCCAGTTTTTTGGAAGCACTTATGGATCTAACCAACAGCAAACATGCTAGCTTTCTATGGTTGATGATGCATTTGGCACTGCCAGTGGCTACTTGGTGTTCACGAAGGACCATGAAAGCCGGCCGGCCCGCTATGTGTTATATGCCCGCGAACACGTATGGAAGATGTCCAGCATTTCCTGCTGCAGTGTGACCTTACGAGGCCTTTCTGGGACTGGTGGCGGCACTCCAACGTCCCGATTCCAGATGTGCAGTTTCGATGGGACGACCAGTTCGTGCTCTTGGGGATAGCCTCCAGACGACAGCCACCTTTGCCCTGTTGCTCTTGTGCAGAAGAAACACTCCAAGGTGCTATCCTTATGACTCTTTGGAACCTGCGAAACTCGGCTGCCCGTAGGGGGGAACACCTCACTTCCCCTATGATCAGAGCGGAGGTCAAATATAACATTAAATAATTTAAATTGGCAATATCAGCCGACTGGGAACTTCGTGTCCAGAAGAAAGGATGCACAAATAAAGCGGTCAAATGGTTCCGTGCCAGATGGGGAACTTTCGAGGAATTGTGTGTGGTTGTCTTGCGGGTGGGAGCTTTTCCCACTTTGGTATTTTCTGATTTTTTTCTTGGGATAGTTTTGGGATGGCTTTGAACCTGTGAAACTGACTGAATGTGAACTTCACACCATGTGTACATATATGTATATTAGATGAATGGGGTGGGATGTGAGATGCAGTGTATGACTTGGCAGATACAGTAAAGGAATGGATAATAGGATTTCGACATTTAGACAGAACAGAGCTGCTGCTATAGGATGCTGGTTACTTCTACAGTGCATGGAAGCACAATGGAGTGTGATTTGACTAGTATAGTGTTAGGATATGTGGTTAGGACAAGTTTGTGTTAGTAGCTTGGCACGTGTGGCTTTGTTTTTCCGTTTTTTCATAACATTGGGCCTCATGATGCGGGGGAGGTCGGGGTCTCAGAGGCTGGATGACTCTGGTTGGGGATGGGACTGGCCAAGAGTGCATTTCTCAGCCCCGGGTGACCGCAGCATTCATGTGAGGGACGCCGGGCCCGTTTCCCAGTTGTGGAAAAAAGAAAGCGATTTTTAAAAAAAAAGAAAAAAAAGGGGAAAGTACGTTGGAGTCACACACGAAGTTCATAGTAGGCAGCTTCAGCAGTTCCTGAAATGGAGCAAAAATTTTGAAAACAACAACAAAAAAAAAAAAAGAAATGGAGCAAAAAAGGGGACCCCCTAAATCTGCCAAGCGCCACCGTGGGAAATGACTGGCCCGCAGGGCCCCGCACTGTCTTAGACCCCCGCTAAACTTGCACATGTTGAAACTCACACCATGACATCAGCGCCACTTTGTCTTGTTTTGCCTATTTCAAAGTTCAAACTAAAAGTGTGCCACAGCCACAGTTCCCCCTCCCCCCCCCAAAAAAAAAATTCCTTTATTTTATTAAAATTTATATATATATACATATATATCGTCACATATCTTTTATTTTTTTTATTAAAATAAAAGTTCCACCCCCCCCCAAAAAAAGAAACAAGTGCGGCAAGGGAACTGTTTTTGAAACTGTAAAGGCCAAAAAAAACACCAATGGGCGAAAAGAGCAGCCGGCGGAACTCGAAAGGGCGATGGAGGTGCCGCGCGCCGCTGTTGGCAATTTTTCATTCATTTGTTCTTTCCCCGTCTGATACCACGGCCGACCCCTGTAGTTTTTTTTTTTTTTTTAAACTTGGACACGATTCCATTACCCCTGTAGTGTTACGACACCCGGTGGTGCTTTCATCGCCCTTTCAGGTTTGGCGGCCGTGTCTTTTGCCCGTTCGCGTTTTTTTTCGCATTTTTTTTTATAATTATTTTATTTTATGTTTTTGTTTACAAGCAACGAACTTCTTTTGTGACACGAATGGACTTACCTCAAAAAACAAAAAAGGGACAGCAAGACTGCTGGACTGCCAGTGTGAAAAAAAAAAAAAAAAGAGAGACAGCGAGACTGCTGGACCGACACTGTGAGGCTCTGCACCATCATTTCTCCTTCTGCCATCAGTTACCTGTGGCCACTGCGAGGCGCTGTGCATTTTTTATTTTTATTTTTCTCCAAGAATGGCAAAAGAATTGTATTACTCAAGGACCTAGGGGCCGGGAATTCCCCACAAACAACCCGGAGACTGGACCAGGACAAGATCAAGATCCTGCTGAGGCCCAAAAAAAAAAAAAAAAAAAAAAAAAAAAAAAAAAAAAGATGCTGCTGAGGCCATTACACAGCTTTGGCTCCTGGAAATTGGGGGTCCATTGTCCCCGATCTCCTGCCTGCAGCTCCCCAACAGAAGAGAAACAAAGAGGATTAAAAAAATCCACCTACACTCCAGGTGCAGCTCCCCACCAATAGAATGGAGCCTGCCCGACAATGCTAGCGGTGCCTGTTCTTATCAGCACAGCACCCCTCGCAGTAGTTCGCTCTGTTTTTTTTGTGTTAAAAAAAAAATTAAAAAAAATCCCACTACACTCCTGTGGCTAAGTGTTTTATAGTACAGCTATGGAGGTGAGCTAAATCTCTCTCCTCGACCCATTGAGGCATTAAAAAAAAAAAAAAAAAAAAAAAAAAAAAAAAAAAAAAAAAAAAACAGAGGCAAGTAACCATGCGCAGAGAGTGGCTCTGCCTCTGTGACATCAACTCCTGCCAAGGCTTCATTTCTGCACCAAGCCTGCGTCAACCATGTTCTTGTGTCGTCTCTTCTCTCCCGTTGGATGACCCATGTGGTCTCTTCTCTCCCGTTGGATGACCCATGTGGTCTCTTCTCTCCCGTTGGACGACCGATGTGTCCAGGTACTCCAGTAATTTTTTTATTTATTTTTTTAACTTTTTTTTAAAGCTGCTAGCTAGCGTTGGGCCGAAGCGGGCGACTCTCGCGCTGATGGAGGCCACTAATTTGGCTCTAATGACCCCCCTAAAGGGGGGTCACACCCAGACCGGCTGCGTAGGTGCTGACTCCTGACAAGCGACATGAGGGAGACTACTAATTTGGATCTAATGACGCCGCTTGAAGGGGGTCATTCTTATCCTCAAGAGGGGTGAAAAGTGGCAATGATTCAGCCACGGCGAGGCTCTGCGCCATCGATTCTCGTTCAGAATCTCCGCAGTGAGACAGCAAGACGGGCGGATGGCTCCGAGTGGACACACATCACACCCTAACTTTCCTTTTAGGCTGCTAGCTACTACCGTCTTCCCCCGAAGACAACGCACCCTCATTTTGGCTGTATCTGGCCGGAAATATACCATGTATACGTTCATTTTTGGGGTGCGTTATGTTCGGGGGAAGACGGTAGTGTTGGGGGCTGAAGCAGGCAAACCCCCATGCTAATCGAGGCGCTACATTGGCCCTGCCTGACCAGCTGCGTAGGTCCCGACTCCTGAGTCCTGACATTGCTACAGGAGGGAGACTATTGTTTTGCCGCTAATCAGCAGCCTAAAGGGGGTCATTCTTACCCTCAGGAGGGGTAAATAGTTGAAAAGTCAAATCAGCGGCCTAAAGGGGGTCATTCTTACCCTCAGGAGGGGTAAATAATTGCAAAGTTAAATCAGCGGCCTAAAGGGGGTCATTCTTACCCTCAGGAGGGGTAAATATTTGTAAAAGTTGGCATCCGAAGCATGGCAGGGCTCACAAACAGGGAGCTGACTCCGTTTCATACCGCAGCGCATAAAGTGGGCGATTTGCAATATAAAGGGGGGCCAAGGGGGCCATGATTATCATACCAGATTTACAGATATCAGCAGCCAAGCTTTATGAGGACTCAGCCCAAGGCTCATATTATAGAACCGAATATCGCAGCCCAGCAGCACCTAGCGCTTTTTCAACTGAAAAGAACGCCAGGTCATTATAGTCGCCGTATCTAGACTGAATATTGCACCAAATAGGGCTCTAAAAAAAGAATGTTACCCCAAATACGTTCAATCTCAGCCGTACGTTCAATTTGGGTGAAAGCGGTAGATTTACAGGTCATAAGGCTATCTTTACAGGTCAGCCTACGTGCAATCTCAGCCGTTGGATCTTCAGAAAACGGCGTTTCCTATGTGCGCGCCTCTCTTAGCTCTCGCCGGGCTACGGGAGAATAACTTGCATCGTCAAGATTACGCTAGATTAGACATGCATGGGGTTTGTGTAGAGGCGATGTTAGCACACGGCCACAACCCTCTTTTTTCGAACGAAGCATTTGGCTTTCCCCTCTGCCTGTTACGCCAGTTTTACACATTCGCCCCTCTTACGCATTCGCCTTACGCATTTGCCCCCCTGGCCTTCTGACCACCAGCACACGGACATTAGAGCAGGGTCTGGTATCCTTTCACGGTCCTGACTGATCTCCCTTGGGCTACAGTGGGTAAATGTGCAAAGAGCACGGACAGCAGAGGGGCAAAAGCGCAACGGTGTCTAGCAAGGCGGACGATATCAGACCTTTGCCCTGAAGCAAGGCCTTACCCTCTGACCATGATGCCTCCTTTACGCATTTGCCCCTCTGGCTTTCTGGCTGCCAGCACACGGCACAAGACCATGGTCCCGCATGTTTCCAAGGTCCCATATCATCTCCATTCTGCTGGGTGAATGTATCAGAGGGGCAAATTTGTAAAATGCTTGCGTTGCAAGGGGGGTATACATTCGCTCACACACTGCACATCCAAATTAGTCGGAAAAGGCGCTTCGAGAGGACCATGGTCCCACCATGTCCCTTGACGGTTCCGGCTGATCTGCATTCAGCCGGGGGGTCAAATGTGCACAAAGCACAGGTAGCAGAGGGGCAAATGCGTAGAAGTGCTTTGCACGGCGGATATACATTCGCTCACACACTGCAGATCCAAATGAGCCGGAAAAGCGCTTTGAGACCACGGTCCCATGTCCCTCGATGGGCTCAGTCGGGGGCCAAATGTGCGCGAAGCACAGGTAGCATAGGGGCAAACGAGTAAAAGTGCTTCGCAAGGCGGATATACATTTGCTCATACGCTAGCTGGAAAAAAAAGGCACTTCGAGAGACCATGGTCCCCACCATGTCCCTTGACGGTTCCGGCTGATCTCCATTCAGCCGCGGGGTCAACTGTGCACAAAGCACAGGTAGCAGAGGGGCAAATGCGTAAAAGTGCTTTGCACCGCGGACATACATTCGCTCTGCTCTTCCCACACGCATTACGCGGGAAAAGCGCTTTGTATGATCTTGCTTGGGACCATAGTCGGCGTCAATCCGCAATTGATTTGATACTCCATGAAACAAACAGGGTACTATGGAGTAGCGCATTTTACTCTTTTTTGTATCTATGACTGAGACTGTAAACAGTTGCTAGGCTAAGAACCAAAACTTTTGAGATCTCTGGCCGAAGACGATGTATCCCCCCAGACTTCTGCTCTGCCGACGAATTGCGAGCACTGTGCATTTGCAGTTTGCCATGCAATATTCCGCAACTCCTTTCTGTCTGAACCTCCTGCGCAAAACGCAAAAGAAAAAACGACGACAACCACGACAACCATGAGTGTCAACGACAAAACCGATGACAACGACGAAACCAACAACGACGACTAAGCCGACGAAACGACAAAAATGACAGCAAACGACAACAACTGTGACAACGACAAAACCGACGACAACGAATGCAACGACGACAACCGCAATGACCACAGCAACAACAACAATGAGAACGCCGAGAATACCAACACACACACACACACACAAAAAAAAAAAAAAAAAAAAAAAAAAAAAAAAAAAAAAACAAACAAAAAAAAAAAAAAAAAAAAAAAAAAAAAAAAAAAAAAAAAAAAAAAAAAAAAAAAAAAAAAAAAAAAAAACTGCAAAGGCTACCCAACCTACTAAATCTTGCAAAATGACTCCGTAACTTCGGGACAAGGAGTGCTTTTCTTTGCAAAAACAGACAAAAAAACGGAAAAAGAAAGAACAACGACAATGACAACAGGCAAAAGAGAACGGACAAAAAAGAAAAGAAAAAAAAAAAGAGAACGGACAACATGTCGCTGAGTTAGGCAAAGACCTCTATCTGGTAAAGTGTGTGCAGTCTCCTGCACAAAATGAAAATGATAGCAACAACAACAGCAATGAGCAAAGGCAAGACTCTGATAGAAAAGAGAAAGAACGAAGGGAAGGACTATCGCCTCAGTTAGGCAAACCATTCAATACCGAACGGGGTGCACATATGCAACTGAGGGATAGGGCCTTGCTCCACTACACAACGCTGTCCATGCATTTGGACGCTTTCTAGACCAAGTGCATTGGGATGAGTCCAACATTTTGAATGCATTCAGGTCCAGAAAGAGCTCCACTACACAACACAACCAATGGTTGACCATTCACAACAAGGCTTTTGGTCATGGCCAGCCCGACGGGTGTCACGGAACAGTCCCTGACAACGCAAATTCGAACCTGCCAATGCGAATGTGAACGCAATTTTCGAAAGGGGTCGGCGGGCCACTGTCGAATTTCTGTCACCTACAGGCTGGTGGAAGCGGTTGCTGCCAACGAAAAAAAAGAAAAAAAAGAAAAAAAGAAAAAAAAAAAAAAGAAAAAAAAAGAAACGGTTGCTGGAGGGCAGCCGTCGAAAGGACCATTCTGACACCTGTCGAAAGTCTTTTGAGCGGCAATTCTTCGAAAGTCTGTGTGGCGATGCAAAATTTTTGAAAACCTGGTTTTCGACAGCCTGTGTGGCGAGCCTCTACGCCTATTCAAAAGAAAGCCTACGGTGCTAACAGACCCACCCGGTAAAGCACCGAAGCCAGGGCGCTTCCGTACTAACAGACCCACCGGGTCCCACCCAGGGGTCCGATTCCTCAGCAATTCTAATGTTAAAATTGATCAAGGCCTCTTTTTTTTTTTTCTTTTTTCTTTTTTTCAATCAACAACCCGAGCTGTTGCTAGGGGTGCTGATAAGAGCAGACACCACTAGCACCGTCGGGGAGGGCCTTGTCGAAGAAAACCGTCCGGAAAACCCCTCCGGCGGACTTCTATCTTCAGAGAACGAAAAAAAAGCCTTAGGGGGCTTCCCCTACTGGCAGGGTGCCCATCTAATAAGCTCTGTGGAGAAAGAGAGCACAAATTTAAAGGAGAAAAAAGCAAGCAAGAAATGTGTGAAACGGTGAAACCCCAATATCCAACACTGGAGGGCTATGCTATACCACCAGTACCTTTGACACTTCCCTTGCCAAAAAGTCTGGTCTGGAGACGCTCTGCGCGCCAAAAGAAAGTTACAAAACGAATCGTTGCGGACTCGCGGGTTTCCTTTTGGCTGGCGCTGCACGCAGCCATTTTGGCAAAAGGAAACCGGCGACGGAAAATGGGTTGGTTTGGATTGGACCCCTGAAACTTGCGGCACGTTCATGACTGCGTTGGAAAAAAATGGGCGGGTGAGCTACTGGTGGTTTCTTCTTGCTCAGACTTCACCAAGAGAGTGGATAGCGGCCGCGTTAGCGCTGCCGTAACACAGCACTAACGCGTGCCGCCAGGGGGGCGGCCTCTGGGCAACGGGGAATCGCGTTGGTGTCGCTGCAACGAAGGCGGCGCTGTGCCAGAACTTGTTGGCGGGGTGGCGGCGCGTGGGGAAGGAAGGCGCGAGGGCGCTATGGGGGACACGTGCAGAGGTGCACTACCATGCTCCTGCCATGGGCCAGTTTCGGCTGACAGGGGTCAGTAATCCTGGTTGACTGTGGAAGGATAGGAGAGTGATGTGGGGGCAGTCAGCGGGCGGGATCTGGACGTCGCTGTCATACCAGAATTATCAAGCTATCAGGGGCGCTGTCCCCTGGTTTCAGATACGGAACTCAAGAGTTGGGAGAGGATTTCAACCGAGCTTGGTGATGCTGATTGAAGTGCTTGGTGTATGCCCGATCGACGGTGGAATGGAAGGTTGGGGTGTTCAGCATCGACATTTGGGGTGCTGTGCACACAGTCTGTGTTTGGGACGACGGATCGACTGATTATGCTCCTCCCTTGCTATTGGCGCGTTGGTGCTGCTGGATGAGATGTTCTGGCCCGCGTTTTGGAGTTGAGCAGAATTGCACGTGCGCCCACAGGTCGGTGACCCTGTTTTAGTCACGTCGCCGCCGTTCTGTTCACCGGTCGAAGGACTTGGATTGCAAAACAATCGGCTTCACACGGTTTTTGTCGTCGGTTGTTTTTCTAGCTAATTACTAGGTGTATAGCCTCTACTTCTGGGCTTAGCTAGGGGGAAGGAGAAAACGAAAATCAGGACGGTTTCGTTGACGTGTTGTACCTTGGGTTACTTTTTGCCGCCTGCTGAATTGGAGATACATAATTAAGGTGCTGGCGGCGGTCGCGGAAATTGAGTGGATACTAATTAGAACCTAGGGATTGGTAATCTGATAGCGGGAAGGAAGGTTAGTGTGGTTTTAATTGGTTTTATTATATGCTGGGTTAGTTTAGTTTAGACAGCTGGTGATTGTGGAGTAATTAGTGGATACTAATTAGAACATAGGGGAATAGTAATCGGCCAAAGAGGAAGAAAGATGGAAAAAGAGATGGCATTTCTGTAGGGGAATCGTAATTACTTTTGCCTAATTTGTATATTAGGGTTGGTAATTAATTAGGGAGCCGTAATTACATTTGGTTAATTAGCATATTAGGATTAGTGAGTAATTAGGAGATACTAATTTTAGTACTGCTAGATTTGAATCTTTTTTGAATTGCATCTGCTGCTTTCAAATGACCAGTTAGTGGCAGCTAGGGTTTGAGCAATGCTGCCTGATTTCTTGGCTGCAGTCGGGGATGGGATTGGTCGGGAGTGCTTTTCCCAGCCCTGTATGGCTGCGGTTTATATGTAAGGGACGCCGGACC